AGTACTGTTACTAGCGACAAGTCTCCGGCCAGGAGCTACGTCTTGCCATCAACTGGTGCCCTTGAGAAGCTCCTCTGCTAGACCATCAGGCATTTCGAGCCACGCTGGAGCTGCCAATCCAGGATCTCGGTGCTCACTTCCAACCCTCGCCCGTTCCTGGCCATTCGCCTTTCTCGACCCCCTTCCTGAGAGAGAGCACGAGGTGATTAATCTTGGGCGCCCGCGGCCTAGCAACGACCGATTCTCTCGCATCTGCGGTTCTCCTCGAAGACGACTCGGTCACCCAACCGTCCTTTGGTCGCAATCACTCAGATGCGGCTGTAGACTGAGGAGCTCCCAAGTGCACAAAATATCCCACGTACACCTACGGCCCTGCCTGCCTGCCAACTCAAACAGGTGTCCCCAAGGCGGCGCATCCGTGACGTCGACGGCTCGTCCGGTTGACCGTCTCTTAACTCGTTGAGAGGCAACGGCCACTAAGCCGCCGAAGCAGTATGTTGTTCTTGACCGCTCTCAATCCATACCCCACAGTGTTTTGAACTGGTGCTCACACGTCTCTCCTTCCAGGGCTCGATCATGGCCGACTACAACTACGACCCCCGGGCCCAGCAGCGCTCCCGAGGCGGTTACCCCGAAAGCGGTCATCAACAGCGAGATGCTGCCTTCTCCAACATCTTTGGATCTGCTCCGCCTGGCAGATCCCAGACGATGACATCTTCATCCATGCACCCCTCCATGGACGATCACGGTAGAACATCGACCATGAACTCCCAGTCTGGGATGCAGCGCCAACCACCACCGCGGCCGCATCCAGGCTATTATGGAGAGACGCAACGGACGCGAACCATGGATTCAAACTCTTCCCACGCCTACTATCAGCCACAGCGCCCCCAGCCCAGCGGATACGGCGGTCATCCTCAATACCAGCAGCAGCAGCAGCAGCAGCAGCAACCGCAGTACATCCCTTATCAACAACAAGCAAGACGGCCATTCCCGAGCCAGGGACCGCCCCCGCCGCGGGGGGACCCTCGGGGTGCCCCTCCTAATGCTGTTGGCGCGAGATACCCTCCGCAAAGAGCTTATCCTCCTCCAAACGCTGACCCCTATCGATCCCAGTCCCTTGTCTCTCAGCCTCGTCCCCAAATGTATCAACAACCCTCGGGCGCATATCAGCAACAGCAGCCTGCCGCAAACCAATTTCGTCATGCCCCTTATTCACCGCAATCGCAGCAGTCAAGGACAACTGCACAAGGGCGGGTGGTTCCTGATCGCCATGAGGATCGATCAATGTCGATGACTGGAACCTACCATCCCCAAGATCGAGACGCACACCAAACAATGAGTGGCCGCGTTATTCCGAATCGGAGAGCGCCATCGGCAGAGGTATCCCCAACGAACGGTTTCGCACCTCAGAACAACGGAGGATACATCCCTGCTCCTGGCTCGAAAACGAGAACCACGAGCATGTCATCTAATGGCGGTAGTGACCCTAGTAGAACCATGTCCATGGCTTCCACCATTGCACCCACAATCACGCCCTCGGAATCCGATGCGGGAACGATTGTTGCTACCAGGCCTGGAAGGAGCCGGTCGATGGAAAGCGAGCGTCCGCCCACTGCAACCAAAATCCGACCTCCCTTGGTGTATCCTGCTATGCTCTCCAAAGTGGCAGAATGCTTTCGCCGGAAGATTATTACCGGGGACCGTACCAAGAACGAACTTACGTATAAGAACGCTTTCAGCGGATCAGAGGCAGTCGACGTGCTGTCCTATATCATTCGAACGACCGATCGAAACTTGGCCTTGCTGCTAGGTCGTGCTCTTGATGCGCAAAAATTCTTCCACGATGTCACGTATGAGCACCGGCTGCGAGACTCTCAGTCAGAGATGTACCAATTTAGGGAAAATTTAATGGAGGAGCAATCAGAAGAGAAGGCAGCTGTCGACGGTGTTTTCGTATTGTTGTCTGAATGTTATTCACCAACTTGTACTAGGGATCAACTCTGTTACTCGATCGCCTGTCCCCGAAGACTGGAGCAAGTTTCCAGGCTCAACCTGAAGGTCAATCCTGGAGGCTTGCGCAAGCCTGATACCCCCCACGTCAACGATGACGAAGGCGATCAGACAGACGAGCAGAAGCTGTGGATCAACTCGGTGCCGAAGGAGATTGCCGAAAAGGTTGGAGAACGTGAGAAGAAGAGACAGGAAGTCATATCCGAAATCTGCTACACCGAACGAGACTTCGTCAAGGACCTAGAGTACCTGCGAGATTTCTGGATCTTGCCGTTACGGTCGAAAGCGTCGCCCATTCCCGCCCCCCGCCGAGAAAAGGTTGTCAAGAATATTTTCAGTAACATCATCGATCATCCTAGCATTCATACAGTCAGCTCGAGGTTTGCTTCCGCCTTGACAACCCGCCAGCAGAAGGAACCCATCGTTCACAATATTGGTGACATATTCCTCGACTCTGTGCCACATTTTGAGCCATTCCTCTGGTACGGTTCCAAACAGTTGGAGGGCAAATTCGAATTTGAAAATGAGCGGTCCTCCAATCCAATGTTTTCGAAGTTTGTGGACGAAATCGAAAGGCGTAAGGAGTCGAGAAAGCTCGAGCTGAACGGATATCTAACCAAGCCCACAACCCGTTTGGCACGATATCCGCTACTACTTGAGAATGTCTTGAAATACACGGAAGATGGTAACCCAGACAAGGAGGACATTCCCAAGGTGTTGGTCATAATCAGAGATCTCTTGGGTAGAGTCAATGCCGAGTCTGGTAAAGCAGAAAATCGTTTCAATTTGAGGAAGCTCCATGAACAGCTTAGGTTCCGGCCCAACGAAAGAGTCGACTTGAGGCTGACGGAAGAGGGCCGAGAGCTTGTATTCAAGAGTCAATTCAAGAAATCGCCAACCGATCCTACGGAGTTCACAGCCTACCTTTTTGACCATGCAGTCTTGCTGGTGCGGATCAAGCAAACTGGTAAAACGGAAGAGATTAAGGCTCACCGAAGACCAATTCCTCTAGAGCTTCTATCTATTAAAGAGATGGATGAAGTCATCCCACCAGGAGGCGTCAAACGGTCGTCTTCTAGTCTGATACCTGCCCTGAGGACCAATGAAACTAAGCAGAAGGGCGAAGGGTGGCCAATCACTTTCCGCCATTTGGGCAAGGCCGGTTATGAGTTAACCGTTTACGCCTCCAATCAGGCCGCCAGGAAGAAATGGCTGGAGTTCATTGACAATGCCCAACAGCGCCTCCGCGCTCGGGCCGACTTTTTCAACACAACGCCCATGTCAACGAATTTCTTCTCTGGTACAAACCACGTCAATTGCTCTACTCCATATGGTAGGTCTCATTCCATTCCAAACCCTCTTGTGACAATGCTAACATTTCTCCAGACGGCGGTCGAAAATTGTTGTACGGTACAGACAGTGGAATCTATGTGTCTGAGCGTAAGAACAAGGAACAGGCTCCCAGAAGGGTGATAGAGATTGCCTCTGTCACGCAGATCGACGTCTTGGAAGAATATCAGCTGCTCCTGGTCATCTCCAACAAATCTCTGTTCTCCTTCTCAACCACGGCTCTCAACCCCGATGAGCCAGCGATGTCGAAACGACCTAAGAAGATCCAGAGCCACTGTAGTTTCTTCAAGACTGGCATCTGTCTTGGACGTCATCTCGTCTGCACTGTCAAACCTTCTACTTTGAATTCTACACTGAAGGTCTACGAGCCTACTGATGCCATGTCCAAGGTGAAGAAACAAAAGGGCTTTGGTAAGTTCATCGCCGGAGGACAAGACGAGTTGAAGTCGTTCAAGGAGTTCTACTTGCCTAGTGAAGCAACGTCGGTGCACTTCTTGAAGTCGAAGCTTTGCGTTGCCTGCGCCAGGGGCTTCGAAGTTGTGTCTCTCGAGACTCTGGAGACCCAGTCTCTGCTTGACCAGGCTGATACCTCTCTTGATTTCGTCGCTCGAAAGGAGAGCGTCAAGCCAATCCACATTGAACGGCTCAACGGCGAGTTTCTGCTCAATTACTCTGAGTTCTCCTTCTTCGTCAATCGCAATGGCTGGAGGGCTCGGCCAGAGTGGCGTATTGATTGGGAGGGAACCCCTGTCAACTTTGCAATCAGCTATCCTTGGATCATTGCTTTTGAGCCCAATTTTATTGAGTTGCGGAACATGGAGAACGGTGCCGTGCATATAGTACGTCACAAGAATATCCGTATGCTCCATAGCAGCACTCACGAGGTAAGTTTCCAGCTATCAATTCCACTCAATCCAGTCACTAACATTATTGATTAGATATTGGTTGCGTGGGAAGATGAACGAGGCGAAGACATGGTCCAGGCGTTGGACTTCTGGAAGACCAACCGCCGATCTGACACGTTGGGGGTGCCAGCAGCTTGATCCACGACTGTCCTTCATTTGGCCTGATATCATGATGGCTGCTTTTTCTTACCCTGCAGAAAATAGACAAGCGAGTCATTTGAGAAAATCTAACCTTTGTGTCTATTCTCCATCCCCCTTCATGATGACCATGGTTGGCATACAAACTACAGATCTCAATTTAACCTCTCCGTCCTATCCTCAAGTAGTTTGCAGCGAGCATTGCATTGTCTTTTAGTCTTCTCACTTCTGTCTCGTCACGCGTCTTTTTTTTCCCTCGCATCTCGTGCACTACCACTATACCTTTTGAATTGGTTGTTGAGGGTGCACAAGTTCAGAGGAGAACGGTTTGGTCTTCATTTTCGATACAAGAGCAGTTGTTAGTTGCTCCCTCTTCCTCATTCTGAATCCTTGCGGATGGGTGGCAATCAACCCAATGTAGGAAACAAGAAGGCATATGTTTGTTTGTTTTCACTGAGGGAGCTAGCGATTTATTACTTTTAATGGCATTATGGCCTTGCACAATTGTCCGGGTAGAACGTTGTTTAACTTTTTTTTTTCAGCGTAATCAAAATCATATTTGACTGAATCATCCTGTTTTCTTCTTGCCATATGCTAAACTCGTGGACCTCCAAACCCCCCATGGACTCGCACAGGTTCAGTATTCGTAGTCTTGGTTGACGCCGCTCCAGAAAACGCCTCTACAACACGCCCGCCGTCTACTACGACCGGCCCCCATCTCTGCTCCCGGTTCCTCCTTGCCCATTTCCTCACATCGTCGTCGGCGTCGCCCCCACCGTCCGTCGTCGTTTCCTTCCACACCCCCATCTCATCGAGCAACACCTCCACCACGGTGACAAACTCCACCGTCTCCCGGTCCCTCTGTACCGCGGCGGGTGTACGCACGCCAGCCAGCAGCTCCGAGTCCTTCCTGGAGCGAGGCACCCGCGTGCAGAGCAGGTGCAGGTCGAGGAGCTGGGCGAACACGAGCCCAAACGCCGGCTTGGTCACGGTGTAGCGGCGGGCGGCTGGGTTACCCTCGCCGTAGTTTGCCGACGACGACGACGGCTGCGGGTTGTGGAAGATGGAGCGGAGGGTCGGGTCGAGCTGCTTCCGCTGCCGCTCCGACGGGTACGCCGTTGAGGGAGGGGGAGGAGCCGTCGGCCCCGGTGTCGTACTGGTAGAGGAGGAGGAGGAGGTATCAACGGCCGTGTTTGTGGAGTTGAGGATGAGGATCAGTGGGTTAGAGGGCAGCGAGCGCGAGAGGCGGCGCACGTGCGAGGCCAGGAGCTGGAGCTTGGCGTGGGCGGCCGCGGAGGAGCGGTGGGAGAAGAGGGCGGAGAGGAGGGAGGAGAAGTGTGTGATGACGATCATGCCTGGTGCCGTCTTCTCTATTGCTGGGGTGGCGGCGGATGAGTCCTCCGCCCCGTTCTCTTCTCCCAGTTCATCATCGTCCTCGTCCTCGCTGTCCTGGATCTCCTCTACTTTCTGAACGGGAGTTGGGTCGGGGCGCTCCAGATCAGCCAGCACTTCCCAGAGCCCGTCCATATCAAACACGCAGGAGAGCATCACCTTTTCGAGGGCGTCTCTGACTTTGGCAGTTCTATGGGTAGAACTGGTCTTCTTCCATTCTGGCTCCCTTGCAGCCAGTTCTGCCGTGATTCCATCTCGCAGAACTGGCAGAATCGTGGTGGCCGGTTTAGGAGTGATGACAAGCACCCGTCTGATCACGCCCTGAGAGAGCGAGTGCGCTAGAATCTGCACCGCAAGCTGGACCAAGAACAATATCAAACAATCAGTCTCTGGCTATGTATAAGTCATCGGAGTGGGCGCGGATGCGGGCAGGGAAGGGCAACAAGGGACAAGGACGTCAAGTGCAAGAAGAAAACAAAACACAGAGCAAGATGTATCCTCACTCACCACCAGACCAAACTCATCTTCCCGTTCAGAACTCAAGCCGACAACCGACCCGCGCTCCAGTCCCCCCATGAGGACATGGTCATCTATGTCGTCACACCCGGTTCGGCATGCTCCGAGCTTCTGGTTGGAGATCCGCCGCTCTCTTTCGCCGTTCAAGACCGTCGAGGCCACTACGGGCTCTAGAGCAAGATGCGAGCTTGCTTGTGAAATCGGCAGAGGGATTTCATCCATGGCTGCCCGGAATCATATGAGTGGGTTGAGCAGTTGAGTGAGCTCGGTTTCCGGTTGGGGTTTCCACTTCGATCGCTTTTCTCCTTGGGAGAGGGCAAGACGCAGCAAACCAGCCCATAGCCTCTACTTACTCGCAGGCAGATGAAAGTAGCATCGCGGTGGTGAACATGTTTATTTCCGTTTGCTTTCCTTCACCATGTTAATAGCATAACAAGAAGCTAAAGTGTCGACGCATGTTAACCTCCCCGCAATAGATAGGCTACCCTAGAGGTCGAACAAACTAAAGTGAAAAGGTCAAGGCATCATGCTCTATCCAAATTGAACTGATTTGGAAAATTTATAAATCCGACGATATCTTCAGCTTTCCGCGTACAATGCAGCGAGTGGAATGATTTATTAACAATGACGTTGGTATTTTGAAATAGCGATTTGTATCATCGTTGTAGCCTATTGCAAACATAAAAGACTCCCATATCTTCACAGACGCCCAGAACGAAGCCCTTATACCATAGCGTTCTTTCCCTCTAAAAGTCTAATAGCTTATAGCAGCTTCATAGTCTTCTGAATCGTCTCGCTGCAAAAGAGTGCCCTCGCGTGTAAAGCACAACAAGAAAATTGCGGCTCACATCATGGCTCGCTGATAAGCGTTCCACGATGTCCTGTTCCCAGCTCTTGTCCAACCAGTCTTCCAAGTCAGGCAACTGGATTAACTCGAATTTTGCCCAGCTGAAGGGATTGTGGGGATTGGGAAGTTCCATCCCCAAAATATTGAGACACTTGGGCTGAACACGCCCCTCGACCAATTCATCGAGTTCTCCAACTTCCTCCTCTCACATACGATGACCTCTGGAGTGCGTGCCAAAGGTATCTACGTGAGGTGTCATGCTTGCCAGTTTCATTCGACGAAATCCAATCCCTAGTGTAGAGGAGCCATGCCGATTATCCATCCATGTTCGCCAGGAGGCACGGGTGAGCTGGAACCATGTCCCAATGCTTCATTCGACCTCCCCAATTGCTTCAAAAAGCAGACATCCAAGATCCTCTATGTAGCGTTAGGGCTGAGGGGCTCGCTAGCCTTGGGTCTCCTCCCGCCTTTCAAACTTCTCATTCGGCCGAGGATGCCGGTGGGCTTCGTGTTTTCCTCGGGTTGAGCATCTGTGGTTGCTCGCCTTTCAAGTGGTCCGCCTGCGGAGCCTCGCCTTGGATATGATGCTGGACTTGTTGGCGACATTGCATCGTCTCGTGCTTTCACACTAAAGTACTCCTCGCCCTTACCGTACTCTGAGAAGAAAGGGTTCGTCTCATTTCCAGCGCTTGTAGCCCCAGGAGACCGCCTGTTGTTAAATTGCGCCTCGGGCGTGTTGATCCGCGCACCTGCGAAATCACGCTGTGGTCTGTTGATGCCTCGGATCCTCTGAGCCAAGGATTTCTTGCGCTGCAAGCCACCTTCGGCGATTTCCTCGGACTGCTCCTTATGGTGGCGAGCGATGGCCGATCTCGCGGCAGGCGTACCCTCCAAGAATGTTGTTGTTCCTAAACCAACGCTCTCCTCTCCATGGACTGCATCGCCTCGAGCCTTGGGGTCGAAAACTGGGGTCACAGTGCTGGTCGGCTGAGAAGAGTAGCCATTTCGGTCCTTATCTTTGGAGCTATATGAATAGTCACTGAAGGCCTCTCTACTGCTGTGGCCTAGGAATGTTGAATGGTCCGCCTGCTTGTTCAGTGGGCCAGATCCTCCCAAGGAGTTATTGGTGGAATCCTTAGCGTAGGCTTGCATGGGAGCCCTTCGGCTCGCCTGGCGATTTCGATGAGGGTTGAGAGCGTCGAAAGGCCCATCGTGGTGGAAGACTATATGCGCCCATGTCAGACTTCCAAGATAGTACGCAACTCACGATAAATCTTAGTTACTCACCTCCATGGCCATAAATGCTTGTTGCATCCAGTTGGTCGATGATATCCATCCTGCGACTGGGTCGACCACTACCACCAGTTTTGCTTCGGGACTTGCCGTCACGGGGTTCTCGTCTCTCACGGCCCTCTCTCTTTTCGCGATCGTCTTTCTTATCGCGGTCATCTCGTGCATCGCCTTCTGGGCGACCTCGTCTTTCTCGTTGATTTTCGCGCCGCCTAGCCGCAATAATTTGTTTCTCTTCCTCAGTTAGGGGCTTAGCATCGAAATCAAGGACTGAAGATTCGGAATTTCGTCGAGGACGGCGCTGTTGTGGTGGGGGTCTTCGCGATGGCGACCCTGGTCCTCCTGGCCGCGGCCTAGATCCATGACGTTGCTGAGTTGGGGGGGCGGGTTTGCTTCCAGATATGTCGAGACCCAGGCCCAAGAGGTCACCCTGCTTGGTCCCCGAGGATGATTCAGCTTTCTTCTCGCCCTTCTTATCATCAAGTGTGAGAGAGTTCTGTTGATCGCGTGTAATTAGCATCTCGGGCTTGGAACTTGGGACCGGCGTGGGTTTGCTATATATCTGGCCAAGGGTGTGCAGGAGGAATGTGGTCGAGGAGAGGACAAAGTAGAAGGCACCATACAAATATTTCCTCAGCGGAGAGGGATTTGGAGTCTGAGTGGTTCGACATGGTTCCAGGCGACCTCACGGGAGGCAAGGACTGGTCGAGGAAAGGGTTGCGGGATAGAGGACGGGCAGGAGGATCTTCAAAGGGAGAGGCTGGAGATACAGCACGATTGCGGAAGGGGTTGTTTGAAGAGAGATTGATGCTCAGGCCGACAGGCGGCTGGTCTACTATGAGGTGAAGCGATCAGCGTTTGAACAGGTAGGGGGCAGGTACGCGCAAGCGATCAGTGGTGACGACAGATGAATGGGTCAAACATGAAACGCAGACATTTCCAACAATGACACAACACAAGTGAGCGGTGGCATCCAAGTGGATCAAGGCTACGGCCGTACACCCCTCTGATATCGTTTGGCGGTTGGGAACTGCAGTTTCAGCTCCCCTCTCCTATCATCTCCTCCCTCATGCTCGCTCCTTATCTATCTCCCTGGTGGTGGTGACCAAGAACTAGCTGGCCTGGGAGGGAGGGATGTTTCCCTGGCAGGAGAGCAGCAGAAAGGCGGGCCCGCCAACCGGTATGCGAGACGAACGGCGGCTAGGCATTGATTGGGCACGATGGGGAGACAGAAATGAAGATCAAACATCAATCTTGTTTCACGTACCTCGCTGGAACGAGTCAGAAGTCGACATTGTGGCGACAGCGGGCGCCGAAGCAGTGTGCGATGCTGCAGTGTGTCGCCGAAGGTGTCGGCGGTTGGGTGACGGAGAATGGGAGAGCGAGCGTGCGAGATTGCGGGCAATGCAACGAGCGACGAGGACCCGATGCGCGTGGCACCTTGTCAATCGGATGAATTAAATTCCTCTGGCCTCAAGACCAGCTGGCGGCGTCATGCCCAGGAAGCGACGGACGGTACGAGGATTTGTTGCAATTGCGAGAGGAGAAAGCTGGACGGAACTGGACAGGAGAGGAGGGGAGAGATGAAGAGCGGAAGCGACTCGTTAATAGGCAAGGAGCAGCAGGTATGTAATGAGAAGCTTGGTTGGCTTCCAGCAGGAGCCAGAGCGGCAGACGGCTCTCGACCACTGGGCCTAGTCGGTTAGTGACAGTAGCCGGCCTCGACAGTGCAAGCACCAGCGACTCAGCCGGTTGTGAACAGGTGCTGCAGGCAATTAGGGACTGCTGGCAGAGGCATTGCCGGGGGCACTGTCGCCATCGACAAGGACGGGATAATTAGCGGGTGCACGTACCTACAGCGCCGGCTATTAAGCCTGGGCTCTCAGTCAGTCTGTGCCTGGCCTGGCTACAGGGAGGCGTTACTAGTCAGTGCCACCTGGTCGAGAGTGAGGGGACGCCCCGGGTCCAAGGCCCAAGACCCAAATCCAAAGGTGGTGGTGGGGGCCGTGAAAAGGGGGAGCGACCTGTGAAATTGTGTTCCTGGCCGGCCTCGTGTCGTCGATGGCTCCAAAGCAAGCCAAATCAAGGGTGAGGTGTGGGTTGGTGCCTGGGCCTGGCGCCGAATGCGTTGGGCGTGGCGGCGCTATTCCTCGATCCAGTGACTGTGACCTTGCCGAGAATGTATGGAGGCGTCCTCGTCGGGTGTAGCAAATGATGGAAGGGATGCAGATCAGCAGGAGGAGCCAGCTGGGCCAACGACGGCGTGCTGGAAATCAGCCTGCTGTGGGGGGCGTTCAATAGGTTCCTCGAGGCTGAGGTTCAACGCTGCCTCATGCGTAATAGCCTGCTCCAAGAACTGGTGGTGGTGTCCCCTGGATGCTGGGGCTGCATTCATTAGGAAAGGATCAATGCGATGGATCCAGTTGTAAATTAGCCCAATGAAAGCAGGTGATCAGCAGCGCCTTGGGTCGCTTTAGCAATGGAGAGCGAGCGGCCCCAACTCCTGATATCGTATCGCGAAGGATGAAAATGATGGTAGCACAGGAAGGAGCCCAAAGAGTTACGGATGAAGAGGGAGGAGTAATAAGAAGGGGCTGGTGGGCGAGGAGGGCGAGAGAAAAGCACAGCAAAGATGGCGGTGAGAACTCAGATGTTTCATATGACCAGTCGTTTATTGAGACTGTCCTTTTCTGTTCCTCTTTTTCACTGTTGGAGGGCCGAGTGATGGTGGCGGCAGCAACGTACGTACCTGGAATGTAAGTCGTGGTTGCCGAGGACAACAAAACCACCCTCTGCCTATTAATAAACGCCCTGCATATCCAAGATAGGCACCTCCCTCGTATGAAGAGGAAAGGTAAATTACCTGTTTGATGAAAAAGGGCGGGGAATGCGTTGCTCGCGCTTATAACTCGCCCACATGCCGCAAGGTATATAGTCACGCAGCTGCCATTACCTTGCAAATAGGTATGGGTATCTAAATTGATCATCAGTACGTGGACATAAACAGACGTACGGGTATGATATCACTGCGTATTATAGGACAAAAGAATGCGCAGATCAACCACACAATCCAAAAAGAGGCAGACTTACAACATGGCACCCACCCAGAACCTCCAGCGTTGAATTTGAACGCAATATCAAAATAATTAACTCGCGAATAGACACAATACCAAACCAACTAGCGTCGATAATATATTCCTTTTTCTAACTATAGTGTGTAGTATTATTGATTAGAAAACAAGTTCCAGCCTTACGTGGAAAGAGCTCTAGTAAGCCATGTTTTATTTCAGCCCTTTCAGCCCAGACTAGCCGCCCACGGGCAGATTACGAGGGCCGCTGAGGCGGGAAATTCATTTCCCGGCACAAGGCACAGAGGTGCATCCTTGGCAGCATCAATACGAGGAGAGTGACGAGACCAGTTGCCCTACGTAATATATTTGTCACGATCCTATCTGAGTGTCTCATTGATCCGTCCTAGCCCACTCCGATAACCACATTGACCGTTGGGGTGTGGCCATTCCTCATTGGTGGTCGGTGGCCGTTACGTGCTTGGTCAAGTAGCTTCACCGTCTCGGCGCCGTGTGCCGTAGCATCTACCATTGATACGCTTTTCTTGGGCTGCTCAGCCGGAAGCATCAGTCCAGGATCAGCACATGGAATTACTTGAACCGCAATTTTGGAGGATGGGTGGGGAGTTTGTCTCCAGGTGGGTGCTTTATACATTGTATCAGCCAATCCTATCGGCCTTGACTATGTCCAACCGTCTCTGTAGGTAGTCCGAGATAACCTGAAAAGCTCCCTCCGGAAAGGGAAGACTCATGCCTAAACTAATGTGCGTTTCTCATGGCCGGGCAAGCACCCTTTGCCCCATCTCTCGCTGTATCCCCAATTCCATGACCCATCCAAGAACAAGTAAAAAGAAGATAAAAAACCACTTTGCCCGTCTAGACAGCCCAAGACTCCTGTTTGCATTAAATCGTGATAGAAAATGTGAGCCATCTCTACATTACTGCTCAGCATCCCATCTGTACAGCTCAAGGGTATAGCAATATCCATTTCCTTGCCATCTCCTCATCCCGGCTACCCTCAACCTTCAAACTCCACGACGCCAGGCTCGTTTATTTCCATTGGTCTTGCAGGTAGCGGTTTAGAATCCACATCGATGAGACTCTGCCCTGATTCTTTGTAGGATCCAGCTTCTGCGTCTGCCCCACTGAGTAGATCGAGATCGCTGCTTTTGACTGACCTTCGGTCTACATCAGCACTGGTCCCTGCTGCATTTCCTCGGACGCCAACAGCAACCCCGATATCCTCGTCATCGTCCTCTTCATCATCGGGTCGTTGGCCAGGTAGAGCATTCTTCTCAAGTTCTTTCTGCGCCTCTTCCATACGACGTCGAACTTCGGTTGCAACGCGCATGCCATCCGTGACAATGCCGTCGAGCATACCGCGCAAGCCACGGCCGGCTTCAGGGGGCCCAGGTTGTATGGGTGCTGGTGCCCTCGCGCCGAAGCCGAGGCTCTGGAATGTGGTGAGCCCGGAACTTGAAGCAGATGCTGAGGCCGCCTGAATGCCCTCAATCACGTGGAAAGACGAAGGAAACGAAGACTCGAAAAACTGCTCGAGAAGCTCGTCTGCAAGAACAACCATTCTGAATGTGGGGAGTGTGATATGAAGTGGGTGGGCTGGGTCCAGAGCTGCATTGGCGGCTTCGGACTTGGATGCCCGCCGTTGCGACGCATTCCTACCGGCTACCTGATCGTCCGCGGGAGACAGCGACGATGGCAGCTTGGCCTTGCTGGGTGACACTGTAGGCGAATCTGGGCCGAGAAGGTCGTCTTCGTCTTCGTCTTCGTCTTCGTCTTCGTCTTCGTCATCGTCATCGTCGCCGATGGCGAAGGCTTCACCACTACCGCCCTCCTGTTGTTCTTTTGATGGGACCTTCTCCGTTTCCTCATTGCCAGGACGATCAGGGTCCGCATATTCAAAGCAACGCCGAATGAACCCGCTAACACTACCCAAGAATCGCTCATTCGTTGAAGCCCCGGGTGGCAAGCTCCCTCCAGATTCCCGCGCAGTCGTTGATTCCCCGCTCAGGTTAAGATTGGAGGCACCTGGACTGAGTGATCCTTCAAGCCCGCGGCGAGAAAGGAAGAGCAAGGCTTCAGATATACGTAAAATTCCTTCGCGGTCTACTCTACCGTCGCCATCGTCATCGTATAGCTCGAAGAAGTAATTGATAGTCCCCATAATGTCCCGCTTCCCTTTGATTTTGGCAAGCCCGGTGACCACGTTCTGAAGGGTTAAGGCTCCATTACCGTCAACATCCCAGTTTTTGAACGTGCGTCGTAGGAAATCATGTTCAGCTGGCTCCGGGCCTGTTCCCCACGGCGAGAATGCATCTGCAGCTCTTCGGGCACTCTGGTACTTTGGAGTTCTATCAGAGTCGAAACTCGAGTCGAATCGTGATTGTCCAGGGGAGTCTGAAATTGCCCATTTAGCTAGAGAAGCTAGAAATTCGCGGAAGGCATCATAGTCCATCAAACTGGTGCTTGGCCCGAGAGCAACGCGGCCTTTCTCAACTTCATTTTCTGTACTTGCGTTGGGGAAGAGATCAGACGCGCGAGATCTGATGATCTTTGCCCTCCGCTTCCGCTCCTCCTGAATAATCATGTCTCGTTGCTGCCGATCGTATAGGACGTTGTAAAATCGATCATACAACGAAGCTAATTCATCGGCAGCAAGAAGTTTGCTATCAGGACCCAGGTTACGGATGGCAGTTCGTTTGGCGAAGTTCTCAATGTTACTGAGAACGGCGTCCTTATTCTTCAACCTGAGTTCCGTAATGCTGCTGTGTGTGATGCCAGAAAACTCTTTGAACGCAACCACCATGAGCTCTTGAAAACGAGTCACGGCGCGGAGCTTGGGATTCTCCGACTTGGGGTGGGCTGATTCGTCGAGACGGGAGAAATACAATTTCAGGACGCTGATAAAGGTTCCATCATCCGTCGCGTCGAGAAGCTCTTCGCCATTGATACGCAAAATGGCGAGTCCAACCTGGAATAAGACCTTGGGTCCTTCAACGAAGAACACGTCCAGGACTCGGAAGGCAAATACAAGGGGCATAGAGTTGATATACAGTGATAGAAACCATGGCAGGGAGACAACAGATAGTTGTACATCGCTCTTGACAAGATGCTCCCACAGGATCGGCATGGTTTTCTCCACGAGCGACTCAAAGACTTTTTGATCGAGAAGTGTGCCGTACATGGTGGTAGAATAGTATCCCGGAACTAGTCGCTCGCACAGAGTGGAGAGGAGATAGAAAGCCTGTGCTTCTGACATGTATATCAGCAGTGCTGCAACGACGATGTTCATAGCCTGACAATAGCCAACTTCTGCGTTGGTCCAACTGTAGGCGGTTAAAACTCGACGAAGTCTCCCAATACCCTCCTCGCTTTGATAACCGGGGTACTCTGGCAAGCTTCGATTCAAGTCCTTTTCAATCTCGTCGATGGCAAGAGACTCTTGGCCTTCGAATTTATCCAGTGTCTGTTTGTACTGTGCTGGGTTCTCCAATCGCAGAAAAATCGAGCCAGAGGTGAGTTCCCATATTTCACCTCTCAAGCGATTGGGAAGACCAACGCGGATTAGCTTATGGAACGTGGGTTGCCGAATCAAGGTAACATTACGGCCGTTGTCTCGAAGATATTCTGCCCACAGTCGCATCTTTGAGCGGTCTCTGAGCTTTTTGGCATCGCCAGGATATCGGAACATCATTCCAAGGCCAGCGTCAGGAGCGGTTGCGTTCTTCTTTTCGTCCGTTCGCAGGAGGTATTCGGAATAGTTTTCGGCAACAACACCACGTAGCTTTCCGACGCTGCCAACCCCCGCCTTAAGACCCCTCTTGAGGCCATCGCAGAATCTCTCACATGCCTGTCGAGTCCCAGCAAGATGTATGATTATCCGTTGCTCTCTGCCATCTTTCTTGTCTTTCTTGCCGTCCTTATCTTTCGAGTCGTCGAACAAGAGTCCGTTCCATGTCGTAAAAGCGAGAGCAAACTAGGAACCATGTAAGTTAGAACTGGAATAATGAACAATGAGCCATGGTAAGACCAAATACCTGAAAGTTCTGGCTGTTCAACCTCTCCACCCTGCGGATAGCACAGAGCGGGAATGTGAAGCCGTTACCACTGGGTCCACCGCCATGGGTTTGACCGGTGAAGGCCTGCGAGGTTGATGTGCTGGCGGACTGAGCAAAGCTCGATGGCGTTGTTGAGAAGCACATGTATGCCTCAGACAGGTGAAGCTTGCCTGCGTAATGCCATCCTCTCTCATGGTCCCGGTCTCCGTGGGTTATGTTGGACGGAGGGATTGTAAGCTCGGCATTGATCTCGTACACTGGATGCTGGGATGAGGGAAGTCGAAACTGGCCCTGGAAAAGAGTTGCCTTGGAAGGATTACGGTCGGAATTGGAAAGATTCAGGCCCTGTGTCGGGTCGATGAACTGCTGAGCCTTTTGCACGAAGCTCGTCAGGTTAGAGAACATGATTCCTGGCCATTCAACGGCGCATGACGACGCTTAATGGACAAGGAGGGTTCACAAACTCGGCAGCCGAGAGGTCTAGGCAGGTCCGAGTAGGAATTTCGAGACGATTGGGTGTCGAGATGCTCGGATGAAGGCGGTCACAGGAGAGGCCAGGTCCATGAAAGAACGAATGCGGTTGACTTGGGGCGGTTGAAGGGACCTGGAGCTGGCCAGTATGGGGTCAAGGAGCCCGCCACTAAGATGCCCGCCTTAGAATGTCGAGACCTGGCAGGTACACTCTAGTGTCCCCTACCGCCTAAGGTACACCTACCTGCCCGCGCCTGGTGGAGCTCAACAGGGCTGCTTACCTACTACGACGACCATTTGGCTATTCTCCGGACTGCATCTACAGCTCGTGTGGCTGGTTGCGTCTGACTAAACCAGCACCGTCAGCAAACATCAACTGCGCCACCCGAGACCCCTTAACACTTCAATCTCAGGGAAGCTCACCAGCCTTTGAGATTCACGAGTGTGTCGAGTTTCAGCTTTCACCATCGCCAAGGCGGGTGTGGACCCCGCCTACCCTTAACGATAGTTGTATTTGAGAGCATTGGCGAGCATAGAAGTCGCCGCGTAGACATGTGCGAGCTGGGAGTGGTCTTGTATAGATACACATGCTCAGGTAATTTAACCTGCTCGTGCCAACAGTAAGCTGCATGCTATGCCGCCAACGAAGCAGAGGAGCACAAATTCGTTGGTCTACCATAACGGACGGCTAGTGAAACCGTGCTCAAACTCGGGTCGCGCATGGCACCTCCTCTTCGCCAGCACCAGGCAAATATGCGATTAAAATAACACCTGGCAGCCTGAGAACGGCGCAGCGGCCCCAGAAGCGGCCTCTGGAGATCGGCGTTTGAGGATCTTAGAGCGTTGTCTCGACAAGCCCAGCATTACGCGTCTGCAGGTATGTAGCACTGATCTGGCGCTTCTGGACGAATCGTCCAATCCAATGTGCCCTCGATGCACACTCCCCGCCCCATGCCGGCCCCCAGCCAGAGGTTGCTGACCCCCTCAGAGGAGGCCGCGATGGCAGCAGGAGGCGCTTATACAGTGTCTGGCGGGGTCCCTTAATTCCAGACTGCCCTTTGCGTCATACCGTGGGCGAGCGGGACCGATCAAAGGGAACCTCCCCCAGACCCAGGCGGATCGCTATTACTATTACCTCCATGCCATGTACCTATTACTGTCCTTGGGGAGGAGTTGCCCATTAATAAGGCGTCCTTTGTCTGTCCAAGTCGACCAGTCTAGTGTGTACCTTATCTTGCCAGCCGATTGATTCGCTGCTCCGTTCTCCGCCCGTGACCCTCCTGATCTCTACATTCATCTCCCAGCCGTCAGATAATCAGTTGGTGCTACCTCGAGTCTGGGACGTCGCCGAGTCTTTGTCGACCCCCATTTCTCCGCCCCTCCTATCAACCCTCGCACTTGTGTATAACAGCAAACGCCAGACAAACTCGACTCGCACTCCCAATTGAGGTATTAATAGCTTCGTCTCCGTCACAGCCAGTCCCGTGCGCCTCAGCTAGTGCACACGAGCGGTACAGCATAACACCGGGTCCAACCGAACCGTTCCATCACACCTGCTCTCACCTGGGTGACCCCTCCTCCTAACCCTTCTCCCAGCTTCAGTTGGTTATGGATTTTGCCTGAACCGCCCGAACGCCCGGCTCAGCATCACGACAAGGACAGAGAAAAGGGCACGGCACATACGTAACCGGCCTCGAGCGACACGGTCTAGGGTGACTAGGAGCCGTTTGGCTAGTCCACATGGCAGCCACCGTCGCAAAGACACAGGTCCCAGACCTATCGGCCGGAATCTCGCCTGCGTCGGCATCCCACGCCGCCATCCACAGTGTCAACGAGAGCGCGATGGCAGTGGCCGGTGATCGCAATGTAGAGCCTTTACCACCCACCCGCAAGTTCGAACTGAACGACTTCAGGCTCGTTCGCACCTTGGGCACAGGTTCGCTCTCACCCACACCCGTCATCGCATTGCGTCAACCACTTGATTGCACATTCACCAGAAATGGCTGACCCCCACATTTGCAGGGACATTTGCTCGAGTATGTCTGGTGTGCCCCGCTGGCTCCAACCCGCAGAGCGCCGACCAGTCAAACATCAAGTACTATGCCATGAAGATCCTGAGGAAGACAGAGGTCATCAAACTCAAGCAGATTGACCACGTCCGCCATGAGCGGGCAATCCTCGCCGATGTCGCAGGGCATCCCTTCATCACCAACTTGCGTGCCACTTTCGCGGACCGTGATTCCCTATACATGGTCCTCGACTACGTGCCCGGAGGCGAGCTTTTCAGCTATTTACGGAAATTTCGCCGGTTTGATGAGCCCACGGCACGTTTCTACGCAGCTGAGATCGTTCTTGTGCTACAGTATCTGCACGAAGATCAGGGTGGCGTGGCCTACAGAGACCTCAAACCGGAAAACCTTCTGCTGGATGCGGATGGCCACATCAAGTTTGTCGACTTTGGATTTGCGAAAAGACTCGGGCACCAGGGGGACCGACCCGTAGAAACATATACACTATGCGGAACTCCCGAGTATCTGGCGCCGGAGGTAATCCATAACAAGGGTCACACAGCAGCGGTGGACTGGTGGGCTCTCGGCATCCTGGTGTACGAGTTCCTCACAGGATACCCTCCTTTCTGGCACCAGAATCCAATCGAAATCTATAAACAGTATGTCACCTTCCTACTCTTCTTATACATCCTACGATGTTTGAGAGGGTCATCGGAGATACCGAATCACGGTACTAACCTGAATCAGAATCGTCGAAAAGCCCGTCTTGTTCCCTCAAAACCCCCCAATATCAGCAGAAGCACAGGACCTCATCCTTTCTCTTTGCACCGTTGACCGGTCAAAGAGGCTGGGAAACATTAGCGGCGGCTCCCGGCGTGTCAAGGAACACCCCTTCTTCCGTGACCTAAACTGGGATGACATTTATCATCGGCGCCACAGAGGGCCCATCATCCCACCAGTGCGCTGGCCTGGCGATGCTCAGTGCTTCGACATTTACCCCGAGGATGATGGCCGGAGAGACGACTACTCTACTGAGATGGCTGAGAGGTATGATCAGTACTTCCGAGATTTCTGAAACCGAAGCACGAGGAGAAGGCAAGAAGAAGAATGCTATGATTCTTGCGGAATGAGATATGTACGATACGAACAGGTGGCCAAAAAGCAGGCCCTTTTTACTTCCTTTTTTTAACCTAGCGTATTGGCTGTTTCTTTGATCCTGTTGACCCAACAGAGCGTTGGAGGAAGCGGGACATGACATGACCGTTGGGTGGCAATTGCTACGGAAAGATGGGTCCGGCGTTATGATGATTTCTTCCCCTTCTATTTCGGGTTTGCTTTGCTTTTTCTTTTTTGTTTTTCACTCTCTTTCAGGACTTTATCCTGTCTAAGCTTTCCAGATGATGATTTAGTATGATGAACCACTAATACATTGGGGGTTCCCCCCAATCCCCCCTCATGACTTGCTAGTACCTTTCTCGGGTGAGGTCGACAAGTGAACGCTGCTTATGAAACTCGATGGAATCTATTGATCTAGCATCCAAGCCATCTCCTCTATTATATTATAGTTCCGTGAACCACCGACCAAGAATTCGATGTTGTGCTCCCAAGCCTGCCTGTTATCCTTCTACCACCATAAAGAACCGTATTCGCCCAGCTCTCTCTCTATTCTTACATACCAATTATGCAGCACCTGGTATCCGTATATCCATAAAGTAAACCCAGCCCAGGAAATAAGGGAAAATAGTCATCAACTTGAAACGAGGGACAAGCATCAAAAACATCCGTACAAAAAACAAGCCTGGAAGCACAAGAGGCAAGGTAACATATGTTACTCATGTGCTTGCCCCTGCAAAGAACCAGTAGCACCCAGCTGCAAGCGCCACGACTGTTCCCAGAATCATGGCGCCTTGCTGGGTGCTCCAGATGAAGCTCGTCCACCCAACGATTGTCTCCTTCCTGCGCGCAGCTACTCTCCTCTCCCAAGCCTCCGGGTCGATCTCGACTGGTAGCCGTACGCGGGGATCTGATTGATCCGCGCCTGTGAGGCTCCTGGCTAGGGTTGCAGGCTCTATCAGCGGAACCGATGCACGGAGGAACACAGCGCGGTGATCGCTGGTCGCGACTACTGGCATAGCATTGTATGCGACGATCTGGACGGATTCGTCGCTGGGAGAGGGTGTATCAAGATACAGTACGCGGTCGGTCCAGCTCGGATATCGATGGGGAGCAAAAGACCACTCGGGATTCTCATCCTCGCTGCCCGGCTTAATATCATACTTGTAGGTGGGTGGAAAGTTGATTTCTGCCTCGCTCAGGCCGTGGAGGGTCCGGTTAGCCTTGCGTTCCCGAGTAAGCTGGTCACGGGACAGGAAGGAGAGGTAGTGGTTTTCGGATTCCGGGTCGAGGGAAGGAAAGGCAGCACCCGGCGGCGGGGACGTGGTGGAGATACGGTAGTTCAAGTCTCCCGCAACAAAAAGGTGGGAGGATGGTTTGAAGACGGATATATCATGAAGTTGGCGCTGCAGGTCGACATGCTGCTCGTCATGGAGGAGCCCTGCCGTCTCCGCCTCGTTGTCGTCCTCTGAAGAAGCCGGGCTTGCCTCCCGATGCTTTTCGATCACAACCTCCGGATTCTCAAAGGTCATGCCCCTCACAATGGCGGCCCAGTTCGCATTTCTCCTCGCCAGGTTCCATTCCATTGCTGCCAAATGGGTGGCAATAAATGTGACCTCGGTCTCTTTTCCGGACGTACCCTCAAACAAAGCCCTGATACCAACTGCACCCTTGTTCCCCATTTCAGCAGCGCCGAACCCAACTTCTGCTTCTTGTATATTGTGTAGACGGTCTGGATCCCGGGCGAAGAATAAAATGGCCGTGTAGCCTACATTCCTAGCTCGGACTAAGCTGTAGGGCTTCTTAGGTTGC